AACTTCATGTGGATCAAACATTTAACATTAAAAACAAAACCCCTGGGTCAGTGTGCAGCTCAGTGGTAGGGCATGTGCTTAGCGTGTACGAGGCCCTGGGTTAACCCTTAGCACTAAGAAATTTATATAACAAATGAAAACTGGATGACACGGGGCTGAGGAGGTGCCAGCTGGTGGCAAGGTACTGACCAGGTGTGGAGCCTGTGCTGATTAACCACCTCCTCCAGGTTACGTTGCAGGTGTCACCCTGAGTAGTTCTGGCAACCATCCTCAGTTTATCCCCTACCTGGCCTCAGACGGTCCTGTGTTCAAGGTACTGTCCCAGTTGCTCAAAAAGCATAGGAAGCAAGCTGTACTCACCCAACGCCACTGTAGGGACAGTGGGCTTGACCACTGTCCTTTTGCTCCTGGCTGTGGATGCAATCAGCCACTGCCAACATCCCAATACCCATGCAGGGCAAAGGGCTCTGGCAGGCAGGTGGTCAGGGAACAGTTCCTTAGCTGGGGAGAGAGATGCAGATACATAATGCAGTGGGGGGGGGGGGACAGGTGCTGGGGCTTGGAGACAGCATGGGTGGGACAGATTATTGGAGGTATGAGGTGCTCTCAGGAGATGGGAGGTTGGGGATAAGTAGACACACAGAGAGAAAGGAGCACAGCATTAATGAGAGAGAACACTGGCCAGGGAAAAAGGGACTGGAGAGACCTTTGCCCAGGACCCTGGCTAAAGTTAAGGACTCAGAGGGCTTTTAGCAAGCCAGAGGTGCAGAAATGGACAAGGTGCAGGGTGCATGCCACTCACACTGCAGTCAAGAGCTGCACAACAACCAGGCATAGTGGTGCATGCCTGTAATCCCAACACTTGGAGGCTGAGACAGGAGGATTTCAAATCCAAGGCCAAGTCTAGCCTGGACAAGTGGGGTAGAGGTCGGTGGAGGAAGGTGCAGACCTGGGGGAGGCTCTTGCTTGGGTGTGAGCTCGGAATTGTGTTTCCTAGATCCCGGAGCTTCCTTTCAGGTGCCGTGTGTTCCTGGTCTGCCTCCTACTCTCTGCCTGGGCTCAGCTCCTATGTGGCTTCCCGCTTTCCTCTGCATGGTCCTTGGGGACTGTGCCTCCTGGAGAAGTGCTCAGTCGAGGCTTCACTTACCTCACTTACTGACATGCTCACCAGCTGAGTCTGATTCCTTGCTTGGATCTGTCTCCTGGTTCTGGATGAAGGCACTTGCTTCTACCAGCACATGGGTGTGCAGGCACCACAGGCTTAATCTGGCCCGCCTTTCTGTTCACCCCACTTCCTCCTCTGGGCTCAACAAATGGCAGTCAGAGATCCTCCCTAAGGGTTCTGGTGACTCACCTTGTTCATCAGGATGGTTGCACTAGTCTCTACACTGCCCTTTCCCACCATCCTGGCTGAATAGGCTAAAACCCTTGAAACATAGCCATGGAAAGCCTGTCCATGAAGCTGGGCACGGCGGTACATGGCTGTAAGCCTAGCACTCTGAGACTGAGGCAGGAGGACCACAAGTTTGAGCCCAGCTTGGGCAACACAGTGACTTAGCGAAACCTTGTCTCAAAATAAAAAATAAAGAGCGGGGGATGTGAGAAGGCCCTGGCTTTAATTCTCAGTACTCAGAGGAAAATGCTTTGTGCATATATACAGAGCAGTGTTATTCCTAAAAACCAGAATACAACAAATGCTCTCAACAAAGCGTGCATAGATAAAAGGTGGCATAGCCACACAATGGAATATTATTTTATCTGAAAGGAAGAAAATACTGCTACAAGGTATCACATAGATAAACTGTAAAAATATTATGTTCAGCCAAAGCAGCCACACACAAAAGACCACAGAGAGTAAGATTCCTCTCACATAAAAGTCCAGGATAGGCAAAGCCATAGAACCCGAGAGCAGATGTGCTTGGCAGGGGGAAGTGACTGCTTATGGGTACAGGGTTTCTCTGGGGTGTTGACAATGCTCTAAAGTAGACGGTGTGATGACTGTATGTAACTGTAATATAAAAACCATCAGACAGTTTAAACGAGTGACTTGTATATTAGTTGTATCCTAATAAAAATTTTCTTTTGGAGACAGGGTCTCTCTTTGTAAATTGTGGGCCTAGAACTTGCTGTGATCCTCCCTCCTCGGCCTCTAGAGAGCTGGAATTGCAGGCAGGTAGTGCCACGCCTAGCTCAATAAAGCCGTTCTTAAACATAAATGAACAGAAGCACCATTTAGAGTGTTCATTCTGGCTCCTTCCAACAGGCTCCTTTCCAGCCTCGTGTGCTGAGGTTCCTGGGTCCCTTCCTCCCTGCACCAGCCCCTTCTCAGGGCGAGGTGCTGTCTCGTCTCCTTCCCTCCCTCTCAACTGCTCCACCTACCCAGTTAATCACCCTTAGCCTCCAGCAGGCATCACGGTTCTGCAGGCTTCCCCAGGTACTCAAGCTGGCAAGGTGGTATCAAGGGCTTTGCAGAGGCTGTGACAGTTTTATTTTTGCTACTGAGTGTTGAATCCAGGACAGCTGCTGCATCTCTGGCTTTTTTTTTTAGACAAGTTCTCACTAAATTGCTAAATTACTCAGGCTGGGCTGGAATTTATAATCCTTCTGCCTCAGCTTCCCAGAGTGCTGAGATTACAGTGTGCAGCAAGTCTATTTCCTTTGCTAAAACCTTTTCCTCTGTGTCCTACTGGGATTAAACCCAGAGAGCACCAGGTTACACCCCTACACTTTTTTATATTGAGACACAGTCTTGCTAAATTGCCCAGGCTGGCCTTGAACTTGTAATCCTATTTCTGTCTCTGGAGTAGCTGTGTGCCACACCTGACAAAAATTTAACATTTAACAGAGCTTCTCAAGTTTCCCATAACCCATTCCTCTGCAGTGTGGGCCCTAAACATTGAGGGCAGAGTAGCTGCTGTCACAAAGAAGCCCCAGAAGTCTGTGGCACTGCATGTCAGACCTATCAGGTCACGTGCGGCAGGTTTTGGTGATGCTGGCCTTCGCTGGCTCTCCAGTGTACAGTGAAAAGCAGAAGAGACGGAGTGCAGAGGCGTGAGGCTAACCACACACACCCCTTGCGTGCCAGCACCTCAGCACAAGGCCACTCGGGACCACGAGGCTGGCCACATGTTGTAGCTGACCATCCAGGAAAGAGAACTGGGTTGGGTAACTTGATAGGCTCCACTCTGACTCCTGCTTCCTGAGCCAGTGTGACTCTGGCCTTCCCTTTGCTTCCCAGGGTCCATCATGCCACTTGTCCACAAGGCTGATGGAAACCTTTGGCATCAACAAATAGATGTGCGTCACTTGGCTACATTCAGAGCCTAGCGACCAGCTCTGTCTTCCCGCTGCTCAGATGTCTTCTGAGCTGGCTCCAGGCACCACACCTAGCCCTGCCTCTGCATTTCTAACATTACTCTGCCTGCTCTTTTTGGGGGGGCTGGGGACTGAACATGCTAAGCACATGCACTATCACTGAGCTGTAGCTCCAGCCCATTATCATGTTAGTAATTGTCCAGGGCTGGGGGTGCCGGTTATGTAGACTGTACAAGGCTCCGGAGTCAGCATGGACATTTCAGCCAACACTTGGGTCAAGCTAACATGACTTTGTATCTACTTTCAAGTACCTGGCCTGTTTTCCTGTCTGCAGCCTGGGTGCTATCCACTCCTCTCTCAAAGTCACTTGGCTGAGACTTGCATAGCAATACAAGACCAGAATTAAGAATGCTTCTTTATTAGTGTATCAGAAACCTTACAGCGGCACAATTTCCTGTTTCAAGATGACTTAGGAGCGGTGCCTGTCGTGGAGTGGAAGGGGTGGCTGCTGGCCTGTGAAGGAGGTTCTCCAAATTGGAAGTGTAGGTCAAGCACCACAGAAATGGAACCATCAGCAGGAGCCTAACACTCCTGCAGGGAGGGAAGCCGAGGGCCAGTTGGCCGGCTGCTTCCTAGCACAGCCCAGGGTAAGAGGCACTGACCTAGTGGCCAGGTCTCCAGGTAGCCTGCAGCACATGGGAACATCTCAGGGTGTCATGACTTGCTTTTTTAGGGTACTGCACTGGTGATTAGACTCAGGGCCTCACACTCAGCTGCATCCCCACCCTTTTCTTATTTTCCGAGAAGGGTCTAGCTAAGTTACCCAGGCTGGTCTTGTACTTATGATCCTTTAGCCTCAGCTTCCCAAATAGCTAGGATTACAGGTGTGCACCATTGCACTCAAGGAATGTTTTTTTAAAAACCCTAACCCAGAGTAATAAAGCTGTATTTGCAGACATGAGACCAATGCGAGGTCCTGAGGTTGGAAGGTTGAGTCTGCAATCCTGTCTAGTTGAAAGGCCCTGGGTTCAAACAATTCTCAGCACAACAAAATGATTAAAACGAAGTATCAAAAATGCAAGTGGAGTTGGTTGTGCTGGCACATCTGTAATCCAAGTACTCAGGAGGCTGAGACAGGAGGATGGCTACAACCTGGACTACATGGAGACCATCTCAAAGAAAAAAAAAAAAAAAAACTAAGTGCAAATTCTGTGGGTTTTGTTTTTGTTGTCTCTCCAAACAAATCACACTAGGTCTACTGCAGTCAGTGCTATGTGGATGCACCGGTAACCCCAAACTAGCCTTAGCTACTCAACATGAAATTGGTTTATCACAGATCCCTTCTGTTCTTTCAGAAGAGAGGGAGGGAGACAACCATACAAGCCCAGCTCTCTGTCCTCCCAAAGCTCTTGCTGTAGACCAGTTTCCAAAGGGCGTCTATGAGCTTCCTGCGGCCAGCTACACTGGTGTCTGCCTGCAAGGGAGGAGGATGGCTTAAGCCAGAGTCTGATGGCAGCCAGGGGGAAGGGGTGTCTCGCTCAAGAGGCCTGGGAGACCTACTAGCTCCCTTAGAGTGATATAGGTTAGGCAAGTTGGAAATAAGAATCCCAGAGTCCTGACTCCCTGACCTAACCTCTTTCAGTTTAAAACATTTTAAGGGAAGGGAGGAAGAAAAATACAGAGGGAAGAATTCATTGAATATTTATTCACAAGAATTCAATTGTAGGTTTATTATTCACAGTTAATCACTACCTACCAAATGCTATCCGCAGTTAAAGGATTAAGTACATAGGTCTTTTTATTTAAACACTGATTTCTTTTTTAAATATATACACACAAAACTTAGTTCAGCAAGGCTTCATGATATACACCAATTTCAAAATAAAACAATCAAATGGTCCAGGTGTAAAATGCCAGACTTCTTTATCATCAGTGAGGAGAGGAGCAGCAGGGTAGGAGGGAGCCAGGCGAGGCAGGGAAAGCCCGGGCCTTGGGGTGCTCCAGGATGAGTTCATCTCCATAACCAGAGTCCAGAAAGACGCAGCCAACCTGTCAGAACCCAAAGGACCAAGACCGCCACCAAGTTTCAGGAAGAGAAATGCAAGCGGCCTTGTCTTGTGGTGGGGATGTGGGCTGAGGGAGAAACGGTTTACAGGCATGTCACAAGGGACCACAGGTGACAGAAGATGGAGAGAGCGCTGCAGCAGCCCTGGCCTTGTGGTCTTCCCCAGCGCCTCCCTAGCTCCCCATCCTACAGCACACTGTGGATGGACGGACTCACGCCCTGCTCTTTCTGGCTGCTGCCCCGGTGCTTGCCCTGCAGACTAGGTGCCTCAGGTGAAACCAGGACCTCATTTTAAGCAAGAAAAATGAAAAGCAAGTACTTTAATCCCCAGTATGGGGATACAGGCTGGAACAGCTGAGGGGCAGTTAAAAGTTATTTTTCCCTCTGGCTTCTGTTCACAACCCGCTGGCTCCTAGGGTTTGTGCCTGTGTGTCTCAGGACAGAAGCAGACCACCCCTGAGACCAGGTCACGGACTCTGACATCCTCAGAAAGATCCCCTCAGCACGGGGGGTGGAGCTCACAGATATTAAAGCTGAACCCGCAGATTTCTGGCTCACGACAGGCAGACGCCTGTACCTCCACTTCTGCTTGTCCCCCTTCCTCCCCTGCTTTTCCTTCTCGTGAGGAAAACATTTACAGAGTAGGAGACAAACTGGATGAAAAGCTCTGGACTGTCTTTAACTTATTTTAAAACAAAACAAATAAAGAACACTGCTCATAAGCAACCCTTGAAATAAGGAAAAAGGCACTATGAAAAAGCAACACCTGGGGGGCCGGAGAGGGCACAGCACAGGCTCGCCGTCCTTCTCCGAGGCCGCGGGTCCCTGCACTCCCTTCCGGCAGCTGTGGCTCGGGACTCAGGCCACCGGGCCTGCGCCTTCTGTGTGTGTACAAGAGACATGGAGACAGCTGTTCTTTCAGTCATTCCCACTAAAACAGACATTTTGCATAGAGAAAATACCAGCCCGCTTGGTTTCTTTTCTTTTATTATTGGCATCAGCTGGGACTATATGTGGCCTTAAATGTCATGCACTAAAGGAAGAAAAAAGATGAGAAAAAGGACACAGGAGGGAAACAGGAGCAGCGTGGAGAAACTGTAATAAAAACTTAATTCAATAGGTAAATTTTGGAATTTTGATATCCAATCCCCCTCCCGTCCCCCAAAGTTCCAACGAAAGTGAGGGTCACCGGTGTGACCAGCCGGGGTGTTCTGAGCTCCTTATGGGCTGCGGTTCGAGGCAGCCTGTGGGTGTAATTCGTTTTGTGTTTTCAATTTTTCACTTTCTTTAAATATTTTGCTGCCTAGACATTCCGGTTCACAGGGGTAACATAGTTGCGGGGAAACATGCCGGTCTGCCCGTGGCAAGCACCCTTCCACCAGTTGGGGTCTGAGTTATCCATGACGTGGATGAAGTCTCCCCGGCGGAAGCCCAGCTCGCCGTCCTCCTGGGGGTCAAAGTCAAAGAGGGCCTGGACGTATGTGGGCTGCTGCAAGAGAGAAGCAGGGAAGATACACACATGGCGTTCCTGACATGGACCCCGCTGGGGCTACATAAGCAGCTACACTGCTTACACAGGGGAACGGACGTGTGCTGATTCTCACACCCCCTGAAGTACCCTCTCCATTTATTCTTGCTTGTCCTAAGTTCACTCGAGGTGGATTAAATGTAATTTCCCACCAAAGCTCACAACATGAGAGTATGACGGTGACCACATCATCAAGTAGAGAGCAGCATGTACGCCATGTGGGGAGAACTGGGGCTTCGTTTGCAGATTTGAAAACATTCACGTCCCTGTCATCTACAACACCTTTATGGTTTTACAGGGTCCAAGCCTACAGTTTGGATAAAGTAAGATGGCACTAGCTGTAAGGCGCAACTGGAATACAGGGATACAGGGGATACAGATGGATACAGCCCCTGCTGCCTGCCAAGCATGAGTGTCCTCAAGATATGCCCGCAAGAGAACACCTTAAGGGCTGTCTTCCAGGCGGACAGGTGCTCATGGAGTAGCATGGCCTTGGAGGGCGCCTCTGGAAAAGGCACAGAGCTTTGCATGCATACAGGGCAACCCAGAGCAGTCCCAGAGGTGGCCCTCTAAGGGGCACCAGTTTGCTTCATGAGCTGTCTTCCTTTCTAGAAGCCACCCCAGATTGAGATTCGGCTCACCTGTGGCACCTGTTCTATGTCCCGGAGGAATATCTGCTGGTTTCTGGACACGGATGTCGATCTGTGGTAATCTACCAGCTCATTCAGAGAATTGAACTTCACCACCCAGAGGAAATACTTTCCCGCTCCATCACGGAGCACCTTGAAGTGCTGCACATCATTTCCAAACCTGGTGAGGCAGGAGACACAGGAGCATTAATGATCATAGTCTCTGTCCACAGAGGCAGAGGCTGTCTGCCTGTGCAGGAGCGGAGGGAAGAACCACTTTTCTCACAAATTCCTCACAGCCTGAGGGTGCAAGAACTGACAGCAAGCTGCCCCGACTGAAGAGACAATCCTGCTGTCCTTCATGACTGATGCTTCCTAGTAAAACACGAGCACTCCTTACAGACAGGAAGTCTCACCCAGGCATCTAATTCTGAAGACATCTTTCAGATATAAACAGTGTCCTAACCTACTGCACACCTGTTCCCTGTACTCTACCAAGTAACAGAGCCTTACTTCTAATGGCTGTGGCATCACTAACTTCTTCTGAAGCACAAATATTAAAATGTGATGTTACATTCAAGAGCTAGGAATGATGGGACAGGAAATAAGGTGAGGAGAGATTGGAAATACTTCAAATAATTCTCCTGTAACTGGGAGTAGTTCCAAGTTGTGTTTTTCATTCAGGAATTTTAGTTTAGCCTTCCCTTTTCATAAGTAAAAGATCTCAAGACCAAAGGGCATGCTGGGACATTAAAGAGGCTTAGGCACTAAAGGAAAAAATTCTGTATCACTTCCCCTTTACACTGGCCAGCAAAAAATAGCCAGGGTGACTGACTGGCTCATGGGATCTGTCACAGTGACATCTGGCTAGAACAGAAGCTCAGCTAGGGCTTTTCCATACTGTCCTCAGGCATGCTGTGAACCTTTGTCAGTGAATACAGTTTTCTCATCTTCGGACTTAAAAGCATTAAGAAACCAAATGCGCCCTAAAAACAATCCAGCAGGTGGCAGCACGAAGTTTCAAGCCAGTGAGTACAACACACAAAGTTTGTTCTTTTCTGGGGGACTGTTCCAGGACCTCTGTGAATGCGTGAAGCCGCAAATCCCACACCCTACAAATACTATGTACTATGTTTTCCCCTAGACCTATATGTGACTATGATAATGACTATGATAATGTGACTATGATAAAGTTTCCAGTAAGGCAATCTCAAAAATCAATCAATTGTAACAGTATACTGTAATAAAGATTTATTTAAAACTTACAAGCTATTTCTGGAATTTCTCATTTGACATTTTTGGACTACCTGACCTCAGGTAACTGCAAGTGAGGAAGTGGAGCTACAGGGGTGCGGGAGGCTACAGTATTGTTGTCATGCAAGAACAAAGTGGGGAAGGGCAGAAAGCTCTGTGAGGCGAGGTGCAACTCAAGTTGCACTTCTGGTCCCAGAAGCCACTTGCACTGTGGTGATACAGCTGGACTCAGAGTCCAGGACACTTCAAAGTGAGCATCGTATCAACCAGAGTATTTTGTTTTCGTCTTTTTGAGACAGGGTCTTGCTATGTAGCTCAGGCTGGCCTCAAATGCACACCAATCCTCCTGTCTCAGCTTCCCGAGTGCTGGGATTACAGGTGTGTTCTACCACACCTGGCAACCACAATGTTTTAAATTAGACTCTGAGCATCTTTTGTGAAGATGCTGGTGGTATTAAAAGGTAGTGATGACACCTGTTTCAGATTTTATTTCTGAAATAGCAACTGCATCAACTCTGGTCTTCTTAGTGTGTACAACAGAATAAACAGGCAGGCTTCCACAGCTCAGGACTGCACACCCCAGTGCCTACAGATTAACTTGGTCTTCAGGTCAATGTAACATATTAACTTTTTGTAAGTTAATGAGAAAAATTAAAATGATAATTATGGCAGGCTTGGTAGTATATTCCTGTAATCCCAGCTACCTGGGAAGCTGAGGCAGGAGGATCTAAATTTCCAGGCCAGCCTGGACAACTCATAAACCTTGTGTCTCAATTAAGGTAAATAAGGAGCTGGGAAGCTGCATGGGATTCAGTGGAGAGTATCTGCCTACTGTGTGCGAGGCTCTGGATCTGACCCTCAGCAGCAGCTATCCTCAAGAAGAACACAACATGAAAACTCAAGACAATTCTACAAACTAGCCCTAAAATGATCTCCATTAGACCTTTAATTGCATATTCTCAATAATGCACTTCAAAAGGCCTTGTCACAGGAAGAAAACTGATTTTTTTTTTTTTTTTTTTGAACAGCACTGGTATTCGATGTCTTTTTCCTTTTTATCGGTGCCAAGGATCAAACTCACGACTGCCTGCTTGCAAGGCAGGCACTTATGCCGCTGAGCTAAATCTCCAGCCCAGAAAACTGATTATTATAACATTCAGTTTGACTTTTGTACATGCTGGGAATAAAAATCAACTATACTTTGAGTATCTCCATTTGTGAGGTAGCACAAAAGGTCACCTGACACTTAATCAAATCTGTATTTAGAAAAAGAGCATGCCTCTAATCCCAGCACTCATGAGGCTGGGGCAGGAGGACAGAAAGTTTGAGCCAGAAAGCTAAGTGAGACCCTGTCTCAAAATAAAGAATAAAAAAGCCAGAATGGGCTAGAGATGTAGGTCAGTGGGAAGGCTGTGAATCCAGTTCTCAGTACCAGAAAAACAAAACAGCCATGACTATAAACTCTAATCCATACTTGAACTCCATACACTAAGCATACAATGGTCCTAAAGGCAAAGAAATATTTAATACTTTTTTTTTCTTTTGAGACAGAGTTTCTCTCTCTATAGTTCAGGCTGATCTTGAACTCACTATGTAGCTCTGCCTGCCCTTGACTGTGTAGTGATTCTCCTGCCTCAGCCTCCTGAGTGTTGGGATTATAGGTGTGCACCATTATGCCCAGCACGCCAATACTACTTTTGTAGTATTTTTGTTTTTTGTTTTTGTCTTTTTGAGACAGGTCTTGAAATGCAGTTCAGGCTGGCCTTTGGCTCACTTTGTAGCCAGGCTGGCCTCAAACTCACACAGCTCCTCCTGCCTCCCTACTGCTGAGACTATAAGAATGTGTCACCAAATACATGCCACATAAAATTTTTGTTTTCAGTGTGTGATACTGATTCCAGGACCTTAACCCTAAGCTGTATTATACCCTCTGCTTTTCACCTCTGCTCCCTGGCCTTTTTCTTAAATTTAGAGGTAGGGTCTCACGAAGTTGCTAAGCTGTCCCGGTTGCCTCAGATGTGATCCTTCTGCCTCAGCCTCCTACAGTGCTGGGTTACAGGTTACCTCCCACAGTTACATTTACCACCAGGAAAGCAAAAACCCGAAGTTCCTTTTGTAGTAACCCTGTCAAGTTAGTGTGAGAGAACTAGGATAGTTCTAGGATAGTGGTGGAGTTAGGCAAGTTGTCAGCTGAAAGCAGGAAAGGCAGCTGACACTGCGAGTCCAGCAAGAATCCCAACGAGGGGAGGAAAACTGGCTGCATTTGCTATCTCTGGGGCTTGTTCCACTGAAGAATCTAAACCCTGTGCTGCCAGAACTAATTCTGAAGCCAGAAATTTAGGATTTGGGGAGAGGAGAGCAGGGGAAGATGGTGGTCTGAGGATTATCACTGGGGTGGTCAGTTACTAAGCTATATTCCCAGCCTAGTGTATTTTATTATTTTAACACAAGGTCTTGCTATGTAGTTCAGGCTAGTGTTATACTCACTATGTGGCCCAGAGTGCATTCAAACTCACTGCAATTCTCCTGCCTCAGCTTCCTGAGTGCTGGAGTAACAGGCATATACAACCTAGCCTGGTGCCCACCATTTTATTTTGAGTCAGGGTTTCAATAAATTTCCCAAGCTGTGCTTGAACTTTGATCCTCCAGTCACATCTTCCCAGACTCCTGGGATTACAGGTATGCAATACCAGGTCCAGCACAGAAATTAGGATTTTAATGTAAAACTAAAATACAAATTAGAGTAACTCTCTACTAGAGTTTGTGCATAGCTAGAAACCTAACCAATGGCCTCCCAGTTGAGACAGGTAGAGACAGGCTTCCAGGCAGAGCAGGAAATACTTACTTCACGGAGAGGGAGAAATCCCCAGGAGCACTCTCACTTTCCCGGATTAGAAAGGCCCCATCATGCCGCTGTTTGCTAAGCATTTCTTCTGCCTTGGCTCTGGGGATTTTGCCAAAAAACCACCTAAGGAAGGAAGGCAAGCCAGTCAACATCTGCTTCCCCATCAAGAAACAGAATGTCCAGCCCTAATGTGAGTAACGGAACTCTCACTGCCAGGTGAGGACTCGCTCTTTACTGTCCAGCCTACCCGAGGCAGACCTCTTACTGGCTTTACTGTGCACCACTTTCTAGAAAGGGACTCATTAACGTCGCTCAGAGGAAGACATCGGAAAAATGGGTCTCTTGAGCCAAAACAGTCTGGGCCCTCACTGACTCATCAGAGTGGCACCTGGGAGAGACCTGGTTCTACAAATGCCGAAACACAGGACAGGCAACACAGAAAAGACAGGCCCCTTCCTGCAGCCATTCGGTAAGGCTCCATGTCTGCCACAGTGGGAATGAAGTGGGGAGGGGGGAGGCCCCGAAGGTGGAGGCATGGCTACTTTTGTGAAGAGTCACAGGGAAAAGGCCAGGGCTGAGACAGTAGTCTCGACCATCAAGGAAGGGCAGCAGCAGTCCTCTCAGGGGCTCTCTGGGTCACTGCTCAGCCCTCAGCTTTCCGAAGTTACCAGGAAAGACCCTGGATGCAGTCAGTGGTAGAGCATTCGGCTGGCACAAGCAAGGTCCTGGGCTGGATTCCTGGCACCAGGACAGACCCAAAGTCCCCCAAACCACAACATCAGAACACAATTTAACCTACCCCACACAAAGCAACTAACTGCAAAATTAAGATCTGTTATTTTAAGCAAATTACAGGCTGTACTGCTAGTTCACTCTGGCCAGAATAAAATGTGGCTGACTTCATGGAAAACTGTGGAAGCGGAAGCAAGTGGACCCTGGCTTACTAGGGGAAGAAGGGGGCACCTATGAAAGAGCTCCAGGTCACAACTGCCTGGCTACCCCAATGTGAACCATTACTAACAGGTGGGAGAGCCGATGACAATATTCTCTTTTTAATCATCCTCAGTGTTTCATTTTTTTAAAAAAAGCAACGACATTTCTAGTAAAGACAGACATACTTTACATGGTAACTTATATTCATTTAATATGCAAAATAAAACAGCAAAGGTACCAGTCTGTTAAAGCTATAAACCTAACCTTGGGCTAGAGATTTAGCTCAGCAGCATAAGCACCTGCCTTACAAGCACACGGTTGTGAGTTCGATCCCCAGTGCCAAAAAAACCCCAACCCTAACCTTTATGGCTTTAAGCCTATTGCATGTACACATAGCCATAATGCAAGATACTTCTGAAACGTTCCACAGTACTCAAGTTCAGACAGAAAGACAGGAGGCACTAGGAGAGACGAACCCAGAAGCTGCCTTGGGAAGCCAAGTGCCCCCATCTGCTGACTTGGGTCTTCCGCATTTCACATGCTCTGATGTCAAGCTGCAGAAGGCAGCCTCCTGCTTGCTCGGAGGCAAGCCAGGAAAGAGGCAGCTCAGGAGAAACCTGTTTTAGTAGACTAGTAGACTGTGAAAGGTGACAGGGACAGCCACCAGTATTGAGAACATTCAAACACTTCTGGTCTCTGGTGGTGGGAGGGTGCACTGTACTTGTGTGTAGTGTGTGTCTGGCTCTCACCAAGGGAGTGCAGGTCCTTGGCAGTCACCCTCTCTCCTCCTGGACCCCAAGAGTTTCCTGCCAGGCAGCCTCCTCTTTGAAGGCACAAAGTACTGAATGTAAGTTAAAATGACCTAGATGAACATGAAGTAAAAATAATAAGCAAGACTCTTCCTTAGGTCTCCAGAAGGGGCAACTGGTGACAGCTGTATGTGTGTTTCTAGGCCTTTCTTTATGAGTGCAATTCCATAACCACCTAACTTGCAGTGCTTTCTTGCTCCTAATCAACTCAGTATTTTTCAAGTCAACTATAAATTATAGTATAGGAAAGTACCCTAAATGAAGTCTTTACAATTTTTTTTTTCTTGGTCTTTTTTGAGACGGTCTCGCTACGCACTTCAGGCTGGTCTCGAACTCACAACGACAATCCTCCCACCTCGGCCTCCCAAGTACTGGGATTACAGGTGTGAGCCACCACGCCCGGCTCGAGTTTTTACAGTTAAAATAAATGTATCTCTGCTGTAAGTTTATAGATCAAGAAATTAGGCTTGAAGACCATTTAATTCAACAGAAATTTCTTGGGTATCTCCTCCTGTTTCAGGAAATCCATGAGCACGCTCCCTCTGAAAGCCGTCCACATAGCACAAGGGATGCCACACAGCGTGGCTGGAATGTCACTGTTAAAACATTTAACTGCCAACACTATATATGCTCAGTGCATTTCATAGTTTTTATAAATCTGATAGGCTTTTTTTTTGTTGTTTTTTTAAGACAGGGTCTCATTATGCAATTCAAGCTGGCCTGGACCTTGCAATGATCCTCCTGTCTCAGCCTCCTGAGTGCTAGGATTACAGGCATGTGCCATCACACCTAGCTCTGATAAACTTTTTATGTTTAAAAAATTTTTTGGTACCAGGAATTGAACTCACAACCTTGTGCTTGCCAGGCAGACGCTTATGCTGCTGAACTAAATCCCTGGCCATGACAGGTTTTCTTAAAAAAGTAATTTTTTGTGGTACTGGGTATCAGGCCCTCATGTGTGGTAAGGCATGCATTCTGACACTGAGTTATACACCCTCAGTGTATAACTCTCAATGGCCTCCTTTTAAAAAAAATTCTGCAATTTTAGTTTACTAGTGTATAGTGTGTGTTCCTTCCTTGTGGGAAGCTGGCACATGTACATAGCGCGCTAATTCCACTTTTCATCCTCTCTCTCTTCCCCCTCTTCCACCTTCTAATCCCATTTCTTCTTTTGGAATATGCTCCTAGGACACAGTGTTTATATTCCTCGTGCGGAGTTGGTACATGTATATAATGTATTCTAGTCCTTTTTGCTCACCCCATCTCTTCTTTTCCCCCGTCCCCTCTTTTTAGGGGGGGTACTGAGAACCCTCCATCTCTTGATCGCCTTCCCCTTTGAGAATGATTTAGCTCCCTATTTCATATTATCTATTTTTTATTTTGCTCTTTATTTTTATTCTGAGTTTTCCATGTAAGAGAAACTATGTGAGATTTGGGCTTGTGTCTCATTTATTCCACTTAACATTGTGGTGTCACTCTACTTTCCTACAAATGACTCAAGTCATCTTTATGGCAGAGCAGAGCCCCATTGTGTGTAAACATCACACAGTCTTTATTCATCTGTGAACGGACATATAGAGTCTAAGATTTAATTATTATGAACTGTGCTGCTATAAACATGGGCAGAGTGCTTTTAACACTGAACTTATGTGTAACTACACCCCTGTAGTCCAGTAGTCTATAAATCTTTCTAAAATATGTGTCTATACACTACATTAGAAATAGCAAGGTATGCAGGGGTGACCATTCATGCCTCTAATCCCAGCACTCTGGAAGCCGAAACTGGAGGATTGCTAGTTCAAACTCCTGCCTGGGCAATTTAAGAGGCTTACTGAGATCCTGTCTCAAAATAAAAATAAAAAGGCCTGGTCTGTAGCTCAGTGCAAAAGCCTTAGGTTCAATTCCCAATACGGGGCACAGGATTCTATCCACCAGCTTCTACTGTGACAAGCACATCTATGCATTCACACCCTGTACACCCAGCACTTGCAGCAGGCAAATCAACACTTTGTAGCCTAGTGTGGAATGAATGCACTTATGCAAACGCACAGGTTATGTGGTTCTCCATTTTAGACCTCCTGCTTCCTCTCCAGTAAGAAAGGGGGAGGTTTGAGTTCTGATCTCTGTGTTGTGCCACAGCTGTGATACTGATACTGATGCCCAATTCCTAGTCACTCAGCAGTCCCACATGGGGACAAGCTCTACATAGACACAAGCATGGTCTTTTTATCAATATGGTAGACTTGCATAAACAGGGTTTTCAGATTTTCATTTTCCCTTTCAGAGCTCAGAGTGAAGGTTTCCTGATTGCCCTGCAGCTCATCTGCAGGAATCCAGCAGAGCTGGTGTGGGGTGCTTCTCTGATCAACCAGAATTCCAAAGTCCTTGTATCAGGGGCAAAGGCCAAAGCACAGAGTGACTTTCCAATCAAGATCAGTAACTACAGCTTTCTAAAGTTGGCTTTGCCTTTTTTTCTCTCTCCTCTCCTTTCTTTCTTTGTAGCACTGGGAGCTGTAGAGTACAATGCCAGCCCCTTTGTTTTGAGATGGGGTCTTGTTAAATATGCAGTTGTCCACTTTGGGCTCTAATATGGGGTGCCTTTCCTGTCTTTTTTTTCCCTTTGTTTTTACATGTTTACAGTACACAATGACTGTATCCTCTCCCTGTAGGGAGCTGGTTCATATACACAACACATTTTCTTTCTATCCCATTCCTCTATTTTCCAACTTTTCTTAACAGCCTGAGAACATCTATGTCAGCTATCTATGTGAAAAAAAGCAGAATTTTTAGCCACAGGCATTTTACTTAAGGTAAAAATTACAGCCTCATGCACTGTTAAGTTCCCACTCAATCTGAAAATATGAAAATTAAAAGTAACAAGTTGATTTTGTTTTCACTGGATCTAGCACAGTAGCCAGTAAAATCATGGTTCTCAGTCTAAACCTGATGTGTGTGTGTGTGTGTGTGTGTGTGTGTGTGTACCGGGTACTGCATCAGGACCCTCATATCATACTATTTCTAGCCCTTGCCCAATTTAGCAAAACACAAAAGAAAAAAGGGCTTCAGGATATAGCTCAGTGCAAAGGCCCTGGGTTCAATCCTCCGGACAAAAAACAATCACAAGCAAAAACAAGATAACTAAGCTACATAGCTCTGGAGGATGACAGGTTCAGACCCAGTTTGGGCAACTTAGTGAGACCCTGTCTCAAAAAAATGTGTTTGTGGGGTGGGGGGTAGGGAGTTTGGACAGTGTGAAGGCCCTGGGTTCAATCCCTAGGCCTACAGAAAAATAAATGATGAGTGAATGATTGAGTGAGTGAGTGAAAGAGGGAGGGAGAGAGAAAGGAGAGAGGAAAAAAGAAAAAACATTAAAGGATGCGTGACCTGATCCACAGTTCCTCTACCCAATGCCGCCCCAGTACAGTAAACTCACAATTCTGTCCATGAAAAGCCCATGCAACCTCCATCAGCAAATAATGAGAATAAAAAGCTGTAGAAATTCAAAGCTGTGTTTAGTATCTATCACAAGAAGCCTAAGAAATTCACGCTCTGCTTCTGGGTTAACACCACTTGTGCCTGCCTTTGAGTGACTCGGGAATGATTATAGGTCAACTCTCCAGTCTGATTTTACAGTGCATTCCGGTGAGAGCATCATCGATCTACACACAGGAGATTCGGAGTCTCATGTATGCATGCCTTCAGAGTTTTAATGCTTTTGCTTTGTGTTTGTTTTTTTGAGACAGGGTGTCATATAGTTTGGATTGATCTCGAACTCATTATGCAGCCCAAGTTGGCCTCAAACTCCAGGTGATCCTCCTGCCTTGGTCCCTTAGTGCTGTGATTACAGGTGTGCACCAATATACCTGGCTTGCTTTTGTGTTTTACTATCAAGAATTTGTGCTTTAGTTATCAATTTAAAAAATGTTCAAGGGCTGGGGATTTAGCTCAGCAGCAAAGTACCTGCCTGGCCAAGCACAAGGTCCTGAGTTCGATTCCCAGTACCCAAAAAAAAAAAAAAAATCAAGCTAGGCATTGTGGCATGTGCCTGTAATCCCAGCACTTAGTTGAGGCAGGAGAGCTGCAAGTTCAAGATCAGCCTGGGCTACAGAGTGAGTTTAAGGTCAGCCTGAACTTACAGTGAAACCCTGTCTCAAACACACACACACACACACACACACACACACACACACACAGACATTTTCTTTTCACTGAGCCACTATTTGCAAAAGCAAGGTACAGGGGCTGGGGATTTAGCTCAGCGGCATAAGTGCCGGCCTTGCAAGCAGGCAGTCATGAGTTCAATCCAACAAAAAAAAAAAAAAAAAAAAAAAAAAAAACAAGGTACAAGTTATAATGGAATATAAGACACAAATTCTCCAGGGAACTTAACATCTTGTAAGGGGAGATAAAATTCAAAGACTTAAGAAAATATTAAGACAGAACAAGTTCCAAACAAAACAGGACAAATACAGTCTTACAAATCAGAGTGGTTTTCACCTTGTTAATTATCTGATGAAACATTCACCTAAGAGCAATTCTAAGGTGCTTGGTTCCTCTTGAAGTAAAAACAAGTTTCCTTGAGCACTTCCCAGTTGCCCTCATCACCCTGCAGGCCAACACAACCGTCTATCTCGTCTAGAGTAGGACTTCTTGAACATAATCCCAAGAAGCTTTCCTCTGAGCCACCGGGGAATTTTACTATGCCGTAAGTTAACTGCACAGCATAATTCCCCATCACTTTGCAAGGTCCTGTCACATAATAACCACACTGGAAAAGTTTACTGACCAGGGCATGAACTCAACTGATAGTTTCATGGGGAGGTTCCTAAATCATTTGTTTCATTTTACAGAAGACAACTGTTACAGGTTTGGGGTTTACTTCCTAGGTAGTGTTGGACCCACATTTAGTTGCTACCAGTGGTTATCTCTGGACAAGCTGATATACTACTCTACAGTTTCCTATACTATGAGCTTTTAATAATGAGAAATACTTTCATAAAATACTGGCACTGAAATACAAAATACTAGATAAAAGCCTTTCTAATTTGTAGGACAAAAAACAATGAATTAGATGACACTGAAGCCCCCATTCTGCTTAATGATACCTGTGTATAATTATTCTCCAAATTTGCTATGTGCATAAATATAATGTAGTCAAAATCTCCAGCAGCTGGGGAACGAGAAGTGTCAGGTCCATCTTGGGACAGTCACAATGGGGAGAGGGAACAGCGAGCTGCTATTCATGGTAGCGGGTGTCATCCAGAAGCCTTGCTACTTGGTGTTAGACCAAGCAGACACTGTCCCAGAAAAATTCTATTCTTGGTGTTGAGAGCCTGTGCTCCCTTGACACACTCACAGGGCCTGCAAATGACTGATTCTGAGGCAAAGAGCAAGGTCAGTGAAAGAGGGGTGGGTGACATGGGGGCTCAGCAGTCTGTGAGAGTTCCCAGGTCCCCTCAATGCCACATAATATAAAGCAAGGCTGGGGTCTGAAAGTATTACAAATGCTCATCGCTCTCAGTAGTCTGGAAGAAAACATCTGTCCTCTCTGAAGTACACACACTTAGGTGAAAGATCAAGCGTTTATTGAGAACTATCATATGCCGATCATTATGCTGAGAGTATAAAAATTAAAGCTGCTGCTCCGAGTGACCAGCAAACAGATCAACACACAACTCTGCAGTACATACCCTTTTTTAAACTTAAAAAAATTTATGAAACACCTGGTCCCAGGGGTTTTACAGAGAGTTAATTATGGACATGCCAAAAAAAAAACTGTTTTACTTTTGAAGATCACTAACAATATTATACTATCATTATATACTACATACTATTATCAAAATCAACATTCTTGGTTAATTCCCTGGAAAGACAGAATAGCATGACATCATCCCAGTGGTATCAACTTAAAATCAGTATATGGAACAAACAGGTGGGAAAGTAATAAGCTCCGACTTACGGGTGTGGTTTCATCTCTATGTAGTTCTTGGGGATGAAGCCATCCTTCCCGTTGAGCTCTGCCTTATACCAATTCTGATCACATTCTTCATTCAAAACCTGGGAAGAAATTAGACAAGGAAAAATCAATCACTTCTCTAAGGTTGCCACGAAACAATCTGTGCTACCTTAGGTTTGTGAAAGATCTTATTTCAAGTATTATCAGTTACACAGATATAAGAGTACTGGTGATTTCAGACAATCAGCAGAATGTTAAAACTCTAAAAATTAAAAAGACAAAGAAATTGTCTCTAGGGGCTGGGGATTTAGCTCAGTGGCATAAGTGCCTGCCTTGCAAGCAGGCAGTTGTGAGTTCGATCCCTGGTACCGATAAAAACGAAAAAGACAAAAAAAAAAAAAATTGTCTCTGCAAATCAGGCCTCCAAACACCTTAAACTCTCAGACAGAAAGGACAGCCAGACATGGTGGCACATGTCTGTAATCCTAGCACTTGAGAGGCTGAGGCAGGAGGAAAGCCATGAGTTTGAGGCCAGTGTGGGCTACACAGTAATATATCACCTAAACAGAATCAAATCAAGCCAAATGAAAGCATGACAGGCAAAAGTATTTTTTAGTAGTTTTTTTTCTGAGACGAGGTCTTGCTATACAGTTCAGGCTGGCCTTGACCAGGCTGGTCTCAAGTTTGCAGCGACACTCCTACTTCAATCTCCCCAGTGCTGTGACACTGTGCCTAGTTTAGTACTGATTTTCTTTTTTTTAAAGAAAGGAAATAAGGGAATTCTAACAAATAGCAAACACGGACCTCAGAGGATGAAGGGAGCTTAACAGATTATATATGACTGTAACCTGGTACAGAGGAGTATGACAGTAGAACCAAGAAGCAATAGGCAAGAACTTTAATCCTTCTCGAGAGAGCACCTAGAATCCAGACCCAATCCTGCGGTTTCTCAACTGCTTCTCTAGATTATTCCAAGAACAGATCTTCTACCACGCAGCTTTCTAGAGTGCTGCTGTGTGTGCACAACCATGTGCCCTTATATGGGAAAACGTTACTCACTATGTAGCATAGGCTGGCCTCAAACTCCTGGTGATCCTCCTGCTTCAGCCCCCTGAGTCTTTGAATTACAGACATGCACCACATCTTTCAACAGGAAAATTATTTTTAATGACCAAGCATGGCAAGTCCTGCCACCTTATTAACCATCAAAGGTCATATGATGTGTTCAGGCTAGACAATGCTAAAGCACACACACCAATCAACACAAATCAGGTAAAGACTTTGAGATAACAACCATGCCACTGTATTCTACAGATGGGAAAACATCTAGAAAAATGAAATGGCTACCCCAAATTATGAATTAGCGACCTCATGTAGCTCAGAATTACACCCAGGGCTGGCAGGTGGCTCAGTGGTGGAGCTTTTGCCTCGCATACGTGAGGCTGAATCACATCCTTACTTTCAGATTCCAAATGAATGTTCCACAGCTGCTTCCCATGAGTCACATGGACAGGCCCAGCCCTGAACTAAGCTGTAGATAATATGAAGACCAAAACGGAAGTTGGTATAAATGCCACACTCTGGATTCTAGACATTTAACGAAAGGCAAAAGGCAGAAGGCAGAAAGCTGGCATCCTCAAAGAGAAAAGAAAACCTAGCGAGGCATGGTTATACAGCCCTATAACCCCTGAACTCCGGGAGGCAGAGCCAAGAAAGAATGAATATGAGCCTAGCCTGGGGAACTCAGCAAGTGCCTGTCTCAAAATTAAAAATTAAAAACGACTGGGGATTTAGATCAGTGACAAGGTCCTGGGTTTAGTCCCAAATACCAAGAAATGAAGAAGAGACAAGAAAGGAGAGGAGGAGAAAAAAAAGGAGAGGAGAAGAGAGAATACAGATGTGTACATTATTCCAAAATGGTGCTTAAAGGAAAGCCTAATTACAACAATAGTTCATCTATATTACAAAATTCTAAAAAGAAGCTGGTAAAATTCTTGATAAAATGACTTATTCAAGATAATGAACAATGCTTTACTCATAGCCAAATTAGAAGCTGGAGTGCTTTGAAGTGTCTGCTGCTGTCTACATGCTGACATTTCTTAGTGACATATGGCATGAGAAGGGGCAGACAGGCTGACAGGGAAGGATGACTTGTCAAGCTACATGGAAGATTAACTCAGGCGTAGTCACTTCCACAGGCCCAGTCCAACGCCTTTGGCCCTGGTGTACTATCTGTGACGCTGGTCAGCTTTAGGCCACAGGCAGTAGTCACTGGGACTAAGTGCATTTGTACACAGGACGAGGTGGCAAGTCTTGTGAGAGCTAATAAGTGTGGATAGAAGAGTTCAAAAAAATTAGCCACTGAGAGTATGGCAGGTTCAGCAGTCTTGAGTCTCACACGTGCCAACAGTGTAGTGATAAAAATTTTTATTTTCCCCTTGAAGAATCATTTTATTAAAGACTGCAATGATATAAAACATCCTAAGACATATTCAGAATTTTAAAAATCATTTAAAAACACTAAACTGCACTGCAGCCAGCCCAGGCATTTTGTTGCTCCGAGTCAAACTGAAGACAAAGGCTTAACAAGGGGAGGGCTCACAACCCCTCACAGGAGCATGGGACCTCTCAGTGGCCTGTAGGAGAGGAGTTTCTCAACCCAACTGCTGTACACTGCATCACCATTTCCAAGAAAGCCCTGACACTGGGATGCCATAACTTAAAAAGATGTTTAACAATTAAATTTTATTTTACTGTTTAAACATATAGACCAGCAAAAGAACTAACCTGAGTAAATTCTGAGTAGCCCGAGGGGACAACCACTGCTTTTAACAGGTGCCTCCAAAAACTGCTTCTGGCGAAAGAGCACAAGCTTCACAAACAGTGCTTTATGCCAAGGTTTGTCACGTTTTCCCAAAAAGACAGCCTATACTGGCTCATCTATGACCTCCTCATAAATAGCTAACCAACACTTTGGCCCACTGTGCAAATTCCAGATGTCTCTAGCCCTCTTTTCTCCCCAGCCTCTACATTTACTTGTCTTATCACCCTGGGTAGCCATACAAAGCTCACTGCTTTAACAGAAGCAGACTGATTGAGAGATGAGATTATGCAAAGAGGAAGAGCCAAGTTTCAGAGAAGGACTTTTTTTTAAAAAAGACACTCTGAAATAATGTTAGCCCAAATCAGGAAGAAATTTAAGAGATGAGGAAAAATTAAAAAGACTGTAACCAACAGAAGGGCATATGAAGAATTTTTGAGGTATTGCTTAATATTTCTTGACCAAGTGGAGTGTACATAGGTGTATTTGGTTTGTGAAAATTCACTCTGTCATATAGATGTGTTTGTCTTTATATACATTATACCTTACTCAGAAGTTACAACTATTCCAGTCAAGAAAATACTGTAATGTTAATACAATTTACTATTTGAATGTAAGGAAAATACATGAAGGTCTATATACTTCAGATAGAAACTTTACATCGCCCCAAAATATATGGGAAAGTAGAAAATAACAGTGAGACCTCAGAAGTCCCCATAGTGATACCTCATCAATGCTACAGTATGAAAAAATTTAACTCCCAAGAGTAAGACTTTCTTCATCATAGACATCGCAGCACGGAACATGCTCAACTTTTCTGCAGAGTGTTACATCATTTCTGGGCTGAAGTTTTACCTTCATTATGAGAGCACTCTAAAGGCAAGGCGAGATTTCCATTTATACAAGTAACAATTGGAAATTCTCTGACTAGGTAAGAAAAAGAAAAAATTCAGTGATGAGATAGATGCAAATCTCATGGGCTGAGATGCAGCTCAGTAGTAGAGTGTTTGCCTAGTATGCAGGGCATCTGAGGCTTAGGAAAGTACAGAGAGGGAGATAAGGAGAGAGAGAGAGAGAGAGAGGGAGGGAGGGAGAGAAAGAGAGGAAGATGAAGGAAGGAGGAAGATGGAGAGAGAGGGGGACATGGGGAGGGAGGGAGAGAGGGAAATCTCAGGCCCAGGAGTACACACTTGCTGACGTGGTAACAAGAACTCAAGATGCAATCCTGACCCTCTGTGCACTAGGATAAATTTGAACCTTATGAACAGTAAACAATGACCCCAAGCAAACTACTACTCTTCCTAGATCTAACAAAAGGTTCCAATCCTGTGGGACTGAGTTTCACTTTCTCTAAATTAGGTCTCTGCTGCAATACTTTCCATGGGATCTGACAGTGCATATAAACAAAGAACCAGAATTCCTGCTGTAGTCCAAAAACACATAGGTTTAAGACAACTGTTTGCTTCATAAAAGATTTTAAACACACAGCTTAAGGACTGCCAAATCTCTTTCCACTCCCTTCTATATAACAGACAAGAAAGAGAAGAACCGCCTTTTCACAATTATTAAAAAGTACTGGGGCTGGGGATGTAGCTCAGCGGCATAATGCCTGCCTTGCAAGGATGAGGTCCTGAGTTTGAGTCCCGGTCTGTCCCCCCCACTAAATAAATACATAAATAGGTTTGTTAAGTGTCTGGTATACAAAATACTGCTCTTTGAAACGTGGGGAGTTTTCTTGACTAAATATAATTAGTCATCTGTAAATTAACAACAAAACATTATGATCATTTAAAAAAAAATAGCTGTCTGGTTATGGCCCATCAAGCCTTTCAACATAAGCTTTAATGCTAATAACTGAGGGTGTTCAACCCATCTTCAAGGGAAAATTGCTCAAAGTTCTAGCAAACTGTGAGGTGGCAATTCATTTGAATAAGAGCATTTGTACACTGGCCATGGTGGCGTATGCCTATGATGCCGGTACTCAGGAAGACCATGAGTTTGAGGACTACAGTATATGAAAGATCACTTAAAAAACAAAAAAAACAAAAAACAAAAAACAGTATTGAGTATTAAACCCAGGACCTTGTATATGCGAAGCAACTGTTCTACCACCAAAATACACACCCAGCCCTACATTCCTTTTTAAAAGTTTACTTTGGAACACAATTTTCATAAATTGCCCAGGCTTGTCTCAAACTTGTGATCATCCTGCCTCAATTTCCCAAATAGCTTGGATTACAGGTGGGAAACACCATGCCCAGGTAACTATTTTTAAAAATT